GCCCCGGGGCTTTGTGCCCGTCCTGGCCGTGCCCAGATAACCGCAGTGTGCAGCTCTGTGTGCGGGAGATAATTTGGAGACGCCAGATCGGTGTGTGGGAGGAGATCCCTGCGCTGGGTTGGGCTGCTTTTATATAAGGAGAGGGAGGCTGTATTTTTTCCTACGTTCAGAGCTGCTGAAAGCCTTGTTTGTTTTGAAAGCAGGGAGAAGCCCCTCGGGAGGACAGCGGTGGTGCCGTGCTGCAGGCCCCCGGGAGGGGGTGCACGGGCAGGGCACGATGCCTTTCCTGCACGGCTTCCGCAGGATCGTCCTGGAGTACCAGCCCCTGGTGGATAAGCTCCTGGGGCTGCTGGCCACGCCTGACGCCGAAGGGCAGAGCTCCCTGGAGAGGTAACACAGGGGCTTTTGGGGGGTGGTTGGAGCTCAGGGAGGTTGGGCAACATTGTCTTGGACAGCCCTCAGTGGGGAGCAGCTCATCCCACAGACCCTCTGTTCTTTGGGAACAGGGAGGTGGAGCAGGGTAAACACAGGAGCTATGGGGGCTCCCCAGGAAAGGCCTTTTCTGCCTGACCCCTGGCAACAAAGCCTGAACTGGGGCTCAGCTGAGGCCCTGAGGCTGCTGTGTAACCCCACAGCCCACGGGTCAGAGACACACTGGGTACAGGACCAGAGGGAAGACCAGGGATTTTCCTTCTTCCCTGGTGCCACTTTGACCCTTGCACACCTGAGCTGTGCTCACTGAGTAACTGCTGGGTTTTTGTGTGTCTCAAGCCCTGCCTGCCTGGACAGTGACAGGAGCCAGCTCTCAGCTGTCAGAAGAGTCCTGGAGAGGGAGACCCACTCCCCGTTTTATCAGGAAGGTGTGAGCTATGCCCTGCTGAAGGTCACTGAGCTGGGGCTCGTCCCAGCTGCAGAAATCCTCCTGGAATTTGGTGCTGACCTCAGCTTTGAAGGTGAGGCTGCTGGGAAGGGAGCTGGGCCAGGAGGAACCAGCAGATCAGAAGCTGCCCTGAGAGGGGGGGATAGCTGGGGCAGAAAGAGGGGGTGCTGCCAGCTCAGACACTCCTGCTCCTTGCTGGAGCAGTGTGGATGTGCCTTGGATGGACTGAGGGACACCAGGGACTGGGGGGCTTTTGGCAGGATGGAGCCATTGGAGCAGCAGGACCCGGGGTCCAGGCATCACTGTGCTCCCAGGGCCCTCCCCAGCTGTCCCCTTCCACTCTTGGCAGGCTCTGGGGCCGTTTTGTTCTCTCTGACTGTTTTTCTCCTCAGACCCAGTGACGTACTACACGCCCCTGCACATGGCGGTGCTGCGCAACCAGCCGGACGTGGTGGAGCTCCTGGTGCAGCACGGCGCCGACATCAACCGCAGGGACCGGGTACGGCCCCGCTCCTGGCTGAGCCCCCAGCCTGAGCTGCTCTGCTGTGAGGGAGGGACAGCCCCCCTGCTGCCCTCCTCCCTGTGCTGCTCCCCTTGGCACATCCCTGTGCCCGCTGTCCCTGCTCTGCCGCTGAGGCAGGTCAGGGTGAGCTGAGCCCCTGCCTTGGAGCAATGTGGGAGGAGGCTGGAGAGACTCTTGGCCAAGATAAAACCCCAACAGCGACTCCCTGCAGACACTCACAGTCTTCAGTATGGGCCAGTGCTTTTTAACAGTTTTTATCTGTTGTGCAGATCCATGAGAGCAGTCCCCTGGACCTGGCCAGCGAGGAGCCCGAGCGGTTGCCGTGCCTGCGGCGGCTGCTGCAGCTGGGGGCCGACGTCAACGCTGCTGACAAGAACGGTCTGTGCTCCCCACCCAGCTCCCCCAGCTGAGGGTGGGCAAGGCAGGGCACAGGGCTGGGGACATTGGCTGCTGCACCTGCTCCCTGCTTTCAGTCGGGTTTGGGAGTTGGGAAGAAGCTGGCAGAACCTCCCTGCACTCGGTGTTTCCTCCTGGTGTGCTGGCTGTGTGAAAAGGGCTGAACCCAGCTCTGTGCAGGGGAGGTGGGGTGGGGCTGTGCCTCTGTCATCCTGTGCTGCCCACTTGCTCTAAAACTTACTCTGCCATGGCACATGTACCCACTGAGACCACCACCAGCCCTGCACGTGTGCCTGTGACTGTCCCCACAGCTGGGCACCATCATGGGGACAGTGGAAGCCTCTGCCAGAAGAAGGGTTGTCACTCCCTGTGTTTGGCTGTCTGGTGGGTGGGGTGGATTGTTTTCCTTCCTGTCTTTTGGGGTGTCACCCTGTTGTCCTGTGACTGACTGATTGCTCCATTGCAGGGAAGACAGCACTGCTGCATGCCCTGGCCAGCAGTGACAGTGGCCAGATCCACAACACCGACAGCATCCGTCTCCTGCTGGAAGGAGGTAAAGAAAACCTTCTCCCCTTTCTGGGCTGGCTGATTCTTTGTGCAGCACCAGGCACTGCCCTCCTGACTCCTTTATAGAGTCAGAGTAAAGCCCAGGGTGCTGGAGCTGGTGCTGGCCCGGCCTCACGCTCTGCAGTGTCAGTTACACTCTCTGTCCCCTCCTGCAGGCGCAGATGTCACGGCTGCCACCAAGGATGGTGACACTGTCTTCACCTATGTCATCTACCTGCTGGGAGAGATGGCGTACAGCTACACCGAGGAGGAGGCCGAGGACATCGAGCGCTTCTGCTTCCGCGTCACGCAGCTGCTGCTGGCCCACGGTGCCAACCCCAGCCAGTGCCCGGCCTCTGAGTCCCTCACACACTTCTGCTTGAAAAGCTTCAGCGACTACTTCCCCCTGCTGCGCTTCTTGCTGGAGTCAGGTGCTGCCTACAACTGCTCCCTGCACGGGCCCTCGTGCTGGTCCGGCTTCCACATCGCCTTTGAGCACCTCTGCTGGCACCTCAGCCGCTTCGACGATGAAACCTATTCCTCAGACCTCATGCAGAAGGGTCAGACTCTGCTGGAGCTCATGATGGCCAGTTCACAAGCCATCCAGCTGCCCAGCAATTTTGAGGTCAACACCAGCAGCTGTAGGTTCCACGGGGAGAAGGTCCAGACTCTGTTCTGCTCTCTGAAGCAGCTGGAGCGCTCGCCGCAGGCACTGAAACACCTGTGCAGGGTGTTCATCCGGCAGTGCCTCAAACCGTGGCCAGTGGGTGACAAAATCAAAGCTCTGCCTCTCCCAGACAGGCTCAAGTGGTACCTGCTCATCGACCACGCTGCTGCTGGCCACGAGGACCTGTGAGCCTGGCAGTGCCTCTGTCTGCTCCCTCCGCAGCCCCGCTGTGCCTGCAGCCACCACAGCTCTGCTCTGAGACAGTTTTCTCTGCAGCGAGAGGTGCTGCCCATGGAGTCCCTCTCTGTGGCTTTCTGGGGGTGTTTTTCTGGGCACAACATCACACCTGGGTTTGGGAAGGTCTCTGTTGCTCTGGGGCACGTCATGGGGAGGCAGGCAGAGCACCTGGGCATGGGGAGCTGGATACTGGGGCTGGTTTGGAGGGAGATGGAGCAAAGGCTTGGGGCTGTGAGTGGACAGGCAGCCTGTCCCCTCTCCCAGCCCTGCCATGGGGGGGTAATGCAGTGCCTTAGGTGTCCAGTGGAGCTGAGAGATGCCTCAGGGTGCTGGGAGAAGGAAGAGGTGTTCTGGCTTTCCTGCCTCTGGTCCTGGTGGTGGAAGCAGATCTGGGATCATCCTGTGGGTGTGGATGCCTTCCTTGCTCAGTGTGGGTTTCTGACACTGGGGATGGGAGTGAAATGGGGCTGACTGAGCTTCTGCACCCCATCCTGGCACAGAGGAACATCCACCGAGGACATCTCAGAGTTACTGGGCTGCAAAACACACAAAGGGGTGTTTCCTAACATCTCTGTGCAAGGATGAGGAACGGGCAGTCAGCAGCTGAGTGCCTTGTGCCTCCCACCCCATTCCCTGGCTCTTTCCTTTGGTGACCACTCCCAGGATCTTACTCTCCTGTGCCTCCTTCCCAGAAGGAATTGCTGCACCTGGAGGGCTCATGTTCCAGCCCTGCCACAGCTGCCTGGCTCCCCTTTCCAGGCACCTGCTTCCTTGTGACATGCCAAAGGCTGGCCACAGAGCTGAGCCCCACACAGTTTTGTTGGTTTGTACTGTTTTTCATGGGGGATGGATGCAGTAGATGAAGAGGAAAAATCTGTTCTGGTTAAAGACAGTTTGTATCAGGTGGATCTGGGATTCACTGGCATTTGGAACTGGAACTGGGTGTCCTGATGAACTGGTGCTTAAAAACCCCAGTAATGTGATCAAATTCTGCCCTGGTGTCTGGAATGGAACTGAACTATTAAACGAGGCCTTCTATAATAACAACAGGGGCTTGGTTTTCCTTAGGTGGGGGGAAGGACAGGAATGGGGGGATGGCTGGAGAGTGGAGCTGCAGCCAACTCTGCACCTGGGCTCACCCCTGGCACAATGCTGTGCCAGTGTTGGCCACCTTGGGTCAGAGGCCAGACTTGGTAAATGAAGGGAACGTGGCCAAAGAGGAGATGGGGGGGTGCTGGGGGAGCACAGGGTCACAGCAATGGAGCTGGAGGTGACAAGCTGGATGGGTCTGGGAGCAGCTCACACCACCCCAGTGCACTCCCAGGGTTGCAGGGCTTTGTCTGGGATGCCCCCATCCCTGCAGGAGGATGTGGGGACTCAGGGTCACACACACCTCCCTCCCTTTTTGCTGCCCAGGTAGGAGACCTGCTCAGGGGTTTAAAGGTGAGGCCCCTTCAAAGCCCCAGAACCTGGTGTTGCCTCCCCACACCACCACAGGGACAGAGCTGAGGCTGCTCCCCTTTGCCTTACCCAGCTCATTGCTGAGCAGCAGCAAGGGGTCAAACACCCAAGCAAGGAAAAGGGCCCAGTCCATGCCAAAGGTGCCTCAAGCTCCTGTTCATGAGCCCTGTGCACTGCAGTCAGCAACCTGCAGCTGCCCATGGATCACCTCATGCACTGGAGACCCTCCTGCTCCTGTCCAGAGCCCCTGATGGTGGCACAGAGCCAACATGCACCCGACAGACCTCACGTGCAGAAGTGCAACAGCAGGAAAATGTATTTGGCAAACACCTCTTTTCACAAACAGCAGCAACTTGGAAGACAAAGTCCCGTCCTTGTCACCGGCCCTGGAAGGGCAGTCACGACACGGGAGAGACCTTCTCCCGCTGCCCTCATCTCATGGCAAAGGTGTACACGTGGTAGATCTCATCAGGAAAGTTCTCCTGGCGCTCCTCAGCCAGGAGGTGCAGCCCAGCTCTGCGGATGATCTTATGGACCACGTCCAGGTCCCTGCAGACGCTGCTGTCCACATCGTCCATGATCACACCCTCCTGGGCCATGTTGTCCTTGATGACCACGATGCCGTTGGGCCGCAGGCCGGCACGGCAGCGCTTCAGGAAGTCGGAGAGGTGGTTGTCAGTGAGATGTCCTGGAGGGGCAGAGCAGGGGTTAGAGGGTGACCAAGGGGAGGAAACACAGAAGCTGCATTTGGATCCCTCCAGAACCAAATACTTGAGACATCTGCAGGGAAAGTTTTAGCTTGGGGATGTCCAGCTTGTGTCTCACTACTCAACTCCATCCAACCCACAACTCTGCTCTGGCCTCTGAGGGCTTGGGGGAAAAAGTACAGGGCCCCTCCATGGGCTGGGGGACAGCTGCCCACCCCAGGCCCCCACCCATCCAGACAGACCTCAGGCTGCTCTCCCCAGTACATAGGACACCTGTCCCCTCAAGAGAACGGGACAGGCTGGGAAGGCCCCACAAGCAGTGACCCTCACCGATGACCCACTGGATCCAGATGACATCGTAGGAGTTGGGCTCAGGGCTGAAGTCCTGGAGGCCGCAGCAGAAGTAGTTGCGCACCCGCCTGCCCTCCTCGCCCAGGTAGCTCTTGGCCTTGGTGAGGAAGTCCTCTGTCACATCCACCATGTCCACTGTCTTGAAGAGGGGCAGCAGCAGCCGCTTGGTGATCCGGCCGATGCCAGCCCCGCAATCCAGAGCTCGGGTTGTCCCCGTCCGGTTGGGGCCATCCTGCAACAGCCACCATGAGGGGTGAGCCCACTGCGAGGCACCCACCGAGGAGAAACGGGACAGCCACACAGAGGATCCCATGAAGTAACTCAGGGGGAAGAGCCCAGCTCCACGCTGGGAGAAGGGTTTTAGGAACACGACAAACTGTGCCACCTACCCGCAGAAACCTCTGCAGGAACTTCCTGGAGCTGTTGATGTCGATGCTGGAGATGTGGCCGTAGCCCCCCAGCATGCCATCCACCGTGGCGGGCACATCCTTCCAGTACTTCTCTGCCTTGGAGTAAAACTCAAACTCGTTCTCCACCACCTCGCTGGTCATGCTGGCCGAGGGCCCACACAGGACTCACTGCTCCCCTGGCATGGGAGAACCCAAACCAGCGAGGAGTGAGTCAGCTCTGCCAGCGCCCCACACCTGTTTATCACCCCCTCCCCAGGGCTACTGCAAACTACAAAAACCTTCAGCTGAGAGCAAGAAGGAACAAAGATTTAAATCCTGGTATTTTCTGGAGATCAACAAGCCCAAAACCCCTCCCTGGGCAGATGCCTCAGCCAGAACAGGCATGGCAGAGCCTTGTTCAGCAATACATGCAATTATACAATTATATTTTGAGGCTGACCCACCCTTTTCACCTATTCTACCTCTCCTTTCCCTGTCTTAACATTTCACAGATTCCATGTTTATGTGTGGCAACAACCCCATCAGTCACCTCCAACTACACCTTGAGTTGCTAAAAGTTATCCTGAGCACCTACCTGAGGATTGTAAATCTGAGCCATGACCATAAGTTAGATATTTGCAATATAATAAAGTCAAGGTATAATCAGCAATACAAGCTATAAATCCCCCCCAGGCATCTCATAATTCAAACCACTATGGATTTGATTAACTGCGCTGGGGATTAGAAACTAGATTTAAGGTGGCCAAAGGGTAAATTCAAGGACTTCAAACACCTTTACAAAATAAAGAAATATATAGAGTTCATGGCTTGAATTTGCTGGCAAATACCTCATTAGACACAAAACCTTTTCTATGGCAGCTTTGACAGGTTTGGTGGCCCCACGTGGCCTCAAACAGCCTAGGGACAGGAAAGGGGGACATGGCATCTCAACTTACAGGTCACTGGTGGAAATCCAGTTTGGCTCAGCGGTGCCAGGAGCTGCTCTACGCTGTGATCTAGGAGCAGAGAAGATGGGATTTAACCAAATCACCCCTCTAGTCCTGTGAGTGTGACCATGGCCCCAGGAAACCATAGGTAAGGGATACCCCAGCCCCACAGACACACTCCCAGGGAGGCTGGGGACAGGAGCTGCTGCTGCCCCTTAGCTCAGAGGCTGAGCCACGGGTGCATGGAGGGTTCTCGTTCAGTGCTCCTGTCTGTGCTCCAGTTTGAGCAGTGCTCCTGTCCGATCTCACGGGCTGGGACTCAGGCTCACCCTCCCGGCAGTGACCCCATTCCTAGGCCCGGGTTTGTCTTGGTGAGTCCCCGGTGACTCATTTTTCAGGGTGTCTCAGGCTACCAGCAGAGGCAGAGAGCACCCAGTCCCCCTAACCCGAACCTAAACCTGAACCTGAGCCCTTCCTGCCGCCCCAGGAGCCCTGAAACGCGGCCGGGGCCCGCGGAAGTGCGGGCAGGTGAAGGCCGGGACTCGCCCCATGGACGCCGCAGCCGTGGGGGGAAGGTCACACGGCGTGGAGAGGTCACCTCGGCGTGGGGCCCGAGCCCCGGGGCCGCGGGCAGGCCGGGAGCGGCAGGGCCGGGGAGCGGCAGGGCCGAGGATGCGCGGCCGGGGGTCCCCAGGCCGTGGGGGTCCCATCCCGGGCCGGGGGGTTACAGCAGCCCCGTGCGGTGCGAGGGGGCGGTTCCCGGTGCAAGGCCCGGCCCGGCCCTTTCGCCTCCCGCCCACCGGGGCCGGGGCCCCCCCGCGCTCCGGGCCCGCGGCGCTGCGGACCCCGCGGGCCGCCGGCTGCAGCCCTACCCCGGCTCCGGCCCGGGCAGCTCCGCCGGCCCCTCCCGGCCCCGCCGCGGCCCGTGGAGAGGCGTGCCGAGGGTGCCGGGGGTGCCGGGGATGCCGGGGGTACCGGTGCCGCCGCTCCCGCCGCTCCCTCGGGCCGCGACCCCCGGGCCCCCCCGTTACCTCCGGCGGCGGCCGCGCTGCCCCCCCACGGCACGGCCGGCCGCGGGGACCAACCAGGCGGCGGCGTGGCGGTGACGTCACTGTGACGCAACGAACGGGACCTGCCCTGTTCTCCCACTGCTGCCCGCGCGGGGGCGCTGCGGGCCGGGGGTGGTCAGTGGTGGGACGGACCGGGATGGAGTGAGACGGACCGGGACGGACTGGGATGGACTGGGATGGACCGAGACGGACTGGGATGGACTGCCACGGACTGGAACAGGCGAGGGAGGACTGGGGCGGACCAAGGGGAGGGACCGGGCAGCCCAAGGGGAGCCCGCTGGTACCCCGCGGTTCTTCAGGGGCAGGTTACCACGGGAGCCCGGCCGGCTGGCACTGGGGTGACGGGACCCAGGGTCACTAGAACAAGTAGCCGCAGGGGTGTCCTGGTCCGGGCTGCCCGCGTGTCCCCGTCCCCTCTCCTGCTCCTGCCCCGGTCCTGTCCCGCCGTTGTCCTTGTCCCGGTCCCGTCCCGTCCCCTCCCGCCGTGCCCCGTCCTGGCCGCCAGGGGGCGCTGTTGTCCCGCCGTTGCGCCGCGGGAACTTCGGAGCGTCCTGAGGGGGAGCGGGACCCGCTCGGGCCCCGGCATCGAACACCGGTACTGAGCATCCGGTACTGACAGAGCCCGGCACCCACAGAGCTCGGCACCGAAGACCAGTACCGACAGAACCCAGCACCGATAGACCCCGGCACCGACACACCCGGAATCGACACAGCCCGGCGCCTACAGAACCCGACACTGACAAAACCCGGTACCGACACTGCCCGGTACCGACTGACACTCCCAGCCTCTCACACGCCCCGTCCTGTAGAGGTGCCCACCCCATGCTCGGTTCGGGCACTGTCCCCTCCGCTCTGGTGTCCCCAGCTCCCGGTGCCCTCCCCTGCCCGCTCCTGCCGGGCCAGCACGGGGCGCTCAGGGCTGAGGGCTCAGCACAGCTCTGTCCCCCCCTCAGCACAGCTCACACCTTCCCCTTTGGGGTGTCACCCTACCCCAGCAGGACAGGGGTAACGGGGCCTGGGGGTGCCCAAGGAAGAGGATTGCTGTGGGAACAGTGACAGTGACAAGGCTGGGTTGGCTACAATTGTGTCTGTGGGGAATGGAGGCTGGTGTGGATTCTCTGCTGTCTAATATGACCTGAGTCCTTCCCTCGTCTTCCCCAGAAACCGAATTTCACAAAACTTGTAAAGGACAGAATCTGCTTGAAGGCACCCAAGGCTGTCAGAGGGCAGTGGCCAGCAGGGCAGAGCTGCATGGGCACAGGAGGAACAGGGCCATCCCCAGCACCTGCCTCTCCCAAAATGTCCTATTGTCCCAAACAAGGTTTTGCTGTCCCCAAAACAGAGCTGCTCAGCCCACGGCCATCCAGAAATCCATGGCACAACCAGCATGTGGCCTCAGGGATAGAGCCCCTTGCCATGAGACATATGCAGAAATAAAGTCCCCACCTTTGGGCAAGCAAACACCAGCCTGGGACAGTTTTTGGGCCCCCAGGTCCCCTGAGTCCCTGTGAAAGGACCTGAATGTGCTGGGGACAGCAGTGACCTGAGCTGGGGCTCAGTGCTGACACCAGGAGTGTGTGTTTAGTCAACTGCAGAGCAGGGGACACAGTAGGAGCATCTCTATGCACAAAAACACTGCTTTTTGCAGTTTGTTTTTCACATTTTAAAGAAACAAGGCTCTTTGTCACCAGGAAGGGGACTCTGAGCACAGGGGGGTGGCACCTTGCTGCCCACAGGCAGGAAGGGTGTTTGGGAGGTGTGTGGGGTGAGTGTCCCCATGCACAGGCACCTGAATGACCCAAACCCACCAGTTTTCCCCTCACCAGAGCTGCCAGCAGCCATTGCATCGCTCCAGTTGTCACCTGTGTTCTTAAGCAGGCAGTGGGCACCTGCATCCCATCCATGCCACGTGCCTTCCATGGTGCCTGCAGGATTTGCTGCCTCTGCTTCCCCAACAAAGGCACTTTTATCCTTTATTTCACTGAGTTGCACTGGGGCTCCTGAAGGCTCTTTCCATTAAGCCCCAGCCACCTCCTCCATCCTCCCCTATTGCCAAAACCCTTCATGATGGCAGGAAGGGAATGGTGCTGCCATCCCCTCCAGGGGCTGGGGCTCTGCTTTGGCCCCTCAGGTTACAATGAAACCTGCAGGAGTTGCCTTAGCTCAGGGGCAGATCTTGTTTGCAAACGTTTCCTTTGATTTTATATTATTATTGTTATTAATTTCATTAAGGTAACAGAGTGTGGCTGAAAATTAAGAGGAAAACTAAAGTGAGTGTCCCTGAGCTTGCCATGTTTCTGAGCCCAGCTGGGGATGAGGGTCCCAGCATTGAGTCCCACTCTCTGCTGGAGACAGCTCCAAGCTTGGGGCCAGTTTGTGCAAAGCCAAATCTGCAAAAACGAGTGGCAGCAGCAGCCCCAGCTCCAGCCCCGCCGCAGAGCCGCCCGTCCCTTCCTGGGCTCAGCTGCCTCCCCGTGGCCACTGCTGCTGGGAAATGCTTTTCCTCTGACGGGTTTCAGTCTTGTCACTCAGTGATTCCTTGTGTGAGGAGACAGAAAACACCCCCAGACCCCTCTCTCCAGCCCATTTGTTTCCCTGCACACCCTCCCTCCTGCTCCCACTCGCTCGCCACCTTCCAAGGCAATCATGGTGCTGCGATTGCTCTTCAGGAATATTTTTTTTCTTTTCCCCAGGTGCCTAATCACCCTTATTACCCTTTTCTGATTAATTAATTCTAATTAATTTTGCACTATCATTTTTGAGAAGAGGTGACCAGGACGGCACATGTTGTTGCAGGTGATTTGCAAGGCAGGTCCTGCAGTGCTGGCACAGCCCTTCCCTCGGTGCTGTTTAACCCGGGTCCAGGTGGGCACCTCCTGCCCCGTTTGCTGCCATTGATGGCAATTAACAGAGCACTGAAACCTCCAAGGGAGGAGGGAAGAGCCCTGAGGGACTTTCCTGGGAACCACAGGGGATGTTCCATCTCCTGTGCTCTGCCTCAGCAGCAGGGTTCAACCCTGGCCAAACATGGTTCAAACCATGTCCATGTTTGCCCAGCTCCTTCAGCCAGCTCTGTGTGCCATGGCCAAGGCTTGGGAAGTCAGAATAAATTAGGTCAGGGCTTCTCCATGCTCTGCCAAGAGCCACCAAGGCGCTCAGAAGCACAGCAGAGACACGGTCCCTTTGTCACCTCCCATCTTCCAGCACTGGTGCCAGTCCTTCGCCAGGTACCAGCAGAGAATTCACCTGGCTTGCCCAAAGGCCTTTGTAGCCAAAAGCTGACATGGTTTGGGAGATTCTGCCCTTAAACACAGATGCCTTGGGGACAGACGTCATTGTCCCTTTGCTGTTTGTTCCAGAAGCAGCCTCTGGTCTGTATCTCATCCCAAGTGCCCATTGAAGAGAGGGGACGTGGGCTGGGGGGCCACTCTGCCCTTGTCAGGGCTCCCATGTCCCTGTCATCAGCCACTGGCCACTGTCCCCAAACAGTCTGGAGCTCATCAGGCACTTCTGCTGGCCAGGTGTCCACCCAGCACAGCTCAGGGCCAGGACTGCCCATCCCACCACATTCCCTTGGCTGCTGGCTCTGGTCAGGAGGCTGCAGCAGCACCACCAACACTGCTGAATCCCCCAGCAGTCCAAAATATAAACACCATATTTATTATATAGTATATATATATATATACTCCATATTTATTATATAGTAGTATATATATTTATATATATAAACCCCTTATTTATTATCTGTAGTATAATAGATGTGAGAGACTAGAAACTGCAGCTAGTAGATAATGTGTATAGTGAATATATATAAATATAAATATTTTTTATTTTATATATTTATATAATAATATAATTATTTATATAAATACTATGTGTACAAATACCATATATATAAATACTGTGCATATAAATACCATATATATATAGATACAATACATATATATATAAATAAAATGTGTGCATAATATTGTGAATATAACTGTGTACATATGTGTATATATACACATATATAGTGTAAAGGGACCATTTATTCCTACATATATTATATATACAGCATACCACATACATAATTCATATATACACATGTATTTGTATACCAGATAGGCAGATAGATATAGGTATAAACACATATATAGGTACAGAGATATAGATACATAGATGTACAGATATACATACATACACAATATAAAAAACATTTTAATCTGTTTGTGTGGTGGACAGGTTTTGGTGAGAGAAAAGAGGGAGAAAGAGAGAGTGTGTATGTCCTGGCTCCCTGGGCAGTGCAGGGCAGTGAAGAGGAAGAGGAGGGAGACACAGAGGAAAGGTACAGCAGGGAGGAAAAGAGAGAGAATACAAACTGCTCCAAGTTACAAACGCTCCCCTCTTTGATTAATTGTACTTTCTGTTTGATAAATGTTACTCATGAGTATAAAATATGCAAAGCACTTAGCAAGTTCACACTGTTTAAAGAACTCAACTA